TGGGGCTGTGGCCACCACAAGCACATCTCAACCTCAAGCATGCAAATGAAATGCAGGAATAAAGAAAATAAAAGGTACACAAAATGACACGGCAAAGGAGTTCCTTACGAAAAGGTTTTAATTTTTTAATATTTTAATTATGTAAAAAAATGTTTTAATTTTTTTAATATTTTAATTATATATATAAAAAAAAGGTTTTAATTTTAAAATGGAATTACTTAGTTAAAAAATTTAAGTTTAAATTATAAAAAAAATGTTAAGTTTAAATTATATATAAAAAAATGTTTTTGGGAACAAAAAGGTTTTTTTGGAAAAAAATGTTTACGGGAACAAAAAAAAGGCTTTTTTTGGAAAAAAATGTTTACGGGAACAAAAAAAAGGCTTTTTTTGGAAAAAAATGTTTACGGGAACAAAAAAAGGTTTTTTTTGGGAAAAAAATGTTTACGGGAACAAAAAAGGTTTTTTTGGGAAAAAAATGTTTTAGTTTTAATAAAAAAGGTTTTGATTTTGAAAAAGGTTTTGATAAAAAAAAAAAATAACAATAGAATTGCAAATACAAACAGACAATTAATGGACATGCAAACAATCCTATACGACACAATCATGGTTCATACAGATCAAAATCTACGGATCTAAACAACAATGAAGGTTAACATGGCAAGGATGCAAATAAATATGAAAAATGCAAAGGATTTAGTAATTTAACGGACCTAAACACATTAACATGGCAAAATATGCACATAAACATGAAAAGGCAAAAGGTTTAGTAATTTAACCTACGAAGCGGAGGTTTGCTTCGGTAAATGTGAAAAAGGTTTGAATAAGGGAACACTGGAGAGCTCCAATCCTTCTAACGAGTTGTGGGAACGACCGCCTTTCTTCTCTGGGGATCTCCTTTGTTTCTCCCTCTCTCTCCTCTTTTCTGAAGAAAACCTTCTGACCCCTCTTAAGTTTTTTTTTCATTCTCTCCTCTTTTCCAACAAGGCAACACATGTATATATAGGGAACAAATTAGGGTTAACACCAAATTGTCAATAATGTCCCTAAAGCCCATTTTAAAGCCCAAACTAAATAATTAGTTAAGAAAAAATAAAATTTAAATAATTTAAAAATAATTAAAATAAACTTAAAATAAAAACTAATAATCCTATTGATTCCTAAAATAAAAAATATTATAAAAGGAACAAAATTTTTCAATATTTTTTTATTTTATGATTTTTTGGATATTTTTATGAATAATTTAGAAAAAAGTGAAAAAAATAATATTTTAAAAAATGATTTAATTAAAATACAAAAATAATAATTAAATAATAATAAAAAACTATTTTTGTTATTTTTTTAATGAAAGATAGAAAAATTTAGAGTAAAAATAATAAAGAACAAAAAAAGTGACAAAGGTGAGATTTAATTTTTAAAATAGTTAGAAAAAAAAAAGATTTAATTTTAAAAAAGAATTTAGAGGAAAAAAAGATTTAATTTTAAAAAGAAGTTAGAGAAAAAAAGATTTAATTTTAAAAAAGTTAGAAAAAAAATTTAGTTTTAAAAAGGTCAGAAAAAAATATTTAATTTTAAAAAAGTTAGAAAAAAAGATTTAATTTTAAAAAGTTAGAAAAAAAAAGATTTAAAGTTAGAAAACAAGATTTAGCTTTAAAAATAGTTAGAAAAAAAGATTTAATTTTAAAAAAGATAGAAAAAGATTTAACTTTAAAGAGGAGTTAGAAAAAGATTTAAAAAAAGTTAGAAAAAAGATTTAATTTTAAAAAGAAGTTAGATTTTTATTTTTTAAAAAAAAATATTAGAATTTGATTAAAAAATGTGTTAGAAATTAATTTAAAAAAAGGTTATAAAAAATTTACTCTTGAAGAAAAGAAAAAAGAAAAAAAAAAAAGTTAAATTTTAATCTAAATCCTAAAAGTTAGTAAGAAGAGCTTTAAATAAATAAACTAAATAGAAAAAAAAAAAGTTAATAAAAAATATTAGTAAAGTTATAAAAAAAATTTAATTAAATTATTATTAGTTAAAAAAACAAGATCTAAAAAAAAAGGTTAATTTATTAGGTTAATAAGAATTTAAAATAAAAATAAAAAAGAAAGGGTAAAATTTGGGGTATTACACTGAGGCACTGGAGCTTGAATATCCTTTCTCACCCCGGGAAGAACTATCTTCAGTTAGATTATATTCTGAATCAGTATCATCAGCAAACACTTCAATTTCTGGCACCCAATCCATAGCATCTATAAATTCTGGTAGTGGTTCTGTAAGCATGTCCAAATCAGCCAATGGAAGCATATGATACTCTGGGTCCAAACTGAATCTCAAAGTGAATTTTGCACATTATGTCGATATGGAATGAGCTGAGTTTCCTGATCAAGTACATTACCATGTGTGTCTTGAATGAGAGGTCGATAATCACCAAGAAAGAACTGATCATATTTGGCATCTTTCTGGGACTCACCTTGGCTTGTGCTTAATATATATAGTTGACCAACATCATCAGATAGTATAATTGATGTCCCATCCGGAGAAAATTTTCCATCCACCAACTTGAACCGTGATATCTCATATATCCTGATGGGCACGCCTTCCCATATATCCCATACAATAGTTCTTCCATCATATCCAGCACTCATTGCTATCCGTGGATTAAAAGGATGAACATCCAGAACATATGTAGATTCAATATGTCTAGTCAATGAGTGCACTAAGCTGCCATCAGAAGCATTCCAAACACAGATTCTGCAATCCATAATAGCTGCAAGAACAAAGCGGTTGTCTAGGCTCCAAACGATCATATTTACACCTCGTGGTGTTGGTAGAATTCTCTGGCGTGGACCAGCTCTCTGAGGTTGCTGAGGCATAGGTGGAGATGGAACTTTGAGATGATATGCGCGAGCCCAACGACCACTTTTCCATAATTATTTCATAGACATCATCAGCAATAAAAGGAGCTTTCTTCCCAGATCTAGTGTTGAAATGATTGTACATAATCTTCACAGTTTCCGAAAACGACTCCTTAGTGTTCTTATGCAGATTTGAAACAGCAATCTTAGCAGCAAAAGAAGCATAATCAGGGTGGTTAGCAGTCATGTCGGCGGCGGTTTTAGCGGCCAATTCATCGAGTTGAATAGTAGTCACACCTCTGTAAACACCGGTAGAAACCTTCTGAGAAACCAAAACCGGGTCACAATGCTTAGTGCTCAAACCGTAACTGAATTTCTTCAACCTTTCAAGTGCAAGTATAAGCAACTCGTATCATGCTTGTGGAAATGGAAATAGTGAGAACTTCCTAGATTCCAACCAGTGGACAACAACTTCTTCAAGAGTAACATACGGGCCAGTTACAGTTCGGATCCCAGCAAGAATAGCATCAACAGTTGGACTAGCAAAGACATCGTCACATATGGCTGCAGCTTTATCATATGGTGGACCAGGATAAACATCTGCACGGAACACAACCTTCACACCCGGATATCCATCTAAAAACTGCAATGTAGGATATGTCTCCATAAGACCATCAATGAATTTAGTCTCAACATCTTTCGGATCGTTGATGCATCCTACCCATTCCATCTATCTCGCTTGCCATCATAGTCAAGCTCAAAAGTTTCTACCTTTTCATCAGCAGCAATGTGCTTGGTTGATATCCCTGTCTTGAAATAATATTGCCAACAACAAAGCACAACTCCACATGTTGCTATTTGACTGTACTGTGAGGGAAAATTTTCAATCCTGTCAGCGAGAATCTCAATCGCTTCCAGCCTTCTTTGAGTTTCCAGAAATTAAGGTTCTCAATCCATGAAGCCATGCATGTTAAGACCTGATGCTGAGCAATGATATCAACCGCATCCAATTGCCTTTGTATGATCTCCTCACAAAGAAGCTGGCTTAGTTCAGGATGATCTTTTGCAAGTTTACAGGAAAGCTTGTACTGGAACTGTTGATAGGAATCAGGAAGGTTGCCAACAACAGCCAGTCATTTGTTTCAGGAGGCAAAGCTGGATGGTCCTCTAACAATCAAGGTTGGTCCAATTCTATTTCAGGTATTTCAAAGTCAACCCCATGCAATAAACCCAACACATACTCAGATGCTTGTGAATCATCAGTTAAAATCACGCATTTGGACCTACGTCTTGACAACGCAACTATCAACATAGAATTCATTGTTATCAAGTTGGCATCAGCTGCTGCAGTATATCCATCAAATAATTTACAAAAGATTGTTGCCTAAGAGAATCACAAGCTTGAAGCAGCTGTGATGCAAAGTCATTCTTCTCTTGGTCATCAACTGAAGTCTTAGAAGTGGATGAAGAAAGTTGGATTACATTTTTATCATGAACATCAGTAGTTCCGCTGTGTCTTGGCATGGAACCATCACTACCGGGCTGATGCCAATTTCTAAGCATCAATGTGAAAAACATGAAGACTAGGATTGCAACTTCCCCAATTGAAGACCGGGTTCTGGCTACAAATGGTCTGTTGAGATTAATCTCATCCAAAAACCATTTGATTAGTTTCTCTAAATCTAAACTGTCGGACTTTGAACTGTCGATGAAAGGTCCACCAACAGCAGATGACAGCCTGATGGTATGAGTCCTGCGATTGCATATGCTTCTCCCTCAACAAGCTCCTGACGCTGCTTCTGTTAACTTGCTTCTTTGAAGACTCGCACCAAAACAGGAAGGCTCTGGCTCAAAAAGTCGTATATATCCTCATCCTGCTTTGCCAGAAAATGTCCTATACACAGAACATAATCAATAGGTGTTGTCATGGATTTACAGTGAACTATCTCCCCCAGGATGCGGTCAATGGCTGCTCCCTTCGTAACACCAGCAGCTCGGACTTCAACTGATCGGCTCCCTTGAACAACTTCAACTGATGTATTTGAAATCGGACCTGTGCAAAGATGTTGTAGCATGTCCCTTGCCTGAAGTTTTCCAAACTCAACATCTGCATGTCTTTCAGTTGTTAACTGTCTTGCCTCGAGGTTAGCGAAACTGATTTCAGTTTTGCTGGGCCACAAGATGGTCAAGCTGCATCTGTTCAAGCCATGTTCCTAGTACAGCATGATCGGCAAAGTCCATTTGTGCGTTCATATTCATATTCAAGCCCTCGCCAGACGTTCCCGTGGGCGCAACGTTTGAGATAGATGTTGTCAATTTCTCTTTGATCTCGGTTGGAGATTCTTTGACAAGTGACTGCACCCATGATAAATCAGGCTCCTCGCCGTTGTTCCCGAGCTCAAAAGAAGATGATCTGCGGAACTTGCCTACTCCATCAGCATTGTGAGCCCAATCCAGCTTACCGTTGGGGGATTCCCATTTGGACCAAGAATTGACTGAGCCGGGAGGTGCAAGCATAGAGTTAGAGCCGTGCTCGCGGAAGCTTAGGCTGCGAAACTAGTTAAAGACAGCTGATTTGTGAGTCGGAGAAAAAACAGTTGAATTCAATGTTGGATCAGCATATCGAGGAGAAGAACTCTCGGCAGAAAAGAGATCGTCGAGATTTGATGGATTCAATGGCTTCATTCGACCAGAGCGGCTAAGACTGTTAGAATTCAAATGGTGTGGAGAGAGGCATGCCAACTCATTGATGAGCTGTTGCTGTTGATCATAATCAGATAACATATCAAAATCGTCCATATGAATATCTCTGGCATTGAGTGAAGATCTCAACTGACTAGACTGGAGATTACTTCCAGGAAGATGCAACGCCGGGATGTTTGGCTGGGGCCAAGCACCAGTGTTGTGAAATGCCATTTCCAGAAGGTGACATGGGTGGAGTAAATGGTGAAGGAGACATAACAGACATTGAAGAAGGTGAGCCAGGCAACATGCTCATAGCTGCAGCAAAGTCCATGGCAGAAGATGTGCTTGATCGAGGTGAGGGAACAATAGAACCGGTTGAAACATACAATGGTCGAAGCTCTTCAGCAGTGTGGGCAAAGAAGCAAACCCTTCTGGAGCAATTTATCCCATCCTTGCAGAGACGGGTTCTATATTGGGCCGGATGCAGCCAGCACTCGAAAACTCCATGAGCATATTCACACATATCCCCTCGCCGGCAAGCACTCTTGCGAAAATCAGGACAAAGAACATAGCTGTAGTGATACTTTCTCGGATCCCTTCTCCGGGCATTCTCCCCTGGATGAACAAAAAGGCATTCAGTCCAATCATGGGAATAAGCGCGCGAACAAGGTCGCACCTTGAAGGAATACATTCGGAATTCATCGGTTGAATATATGCTGTTTTTGATATCAGGAAGAGACGGATCAACCGGATATTCTTTCTTTTCAGATGCAGCAGGAGAAATAGGTACATCAATTGACTTTAACCTCAAAAGAAGATCTGGTGGTGGAGAAGGAGATCCGTTCTCAGGTGAAGCCGACAAAGGAGGAGAATAAAGGAATTCGTAATCACCCTAAGATTACAGCCGACACTAGCATCATCAGTTTGAAGAAGCTCTTCAAAACTGATTTTCACAAATTCAAGCTTAGGGGGATAAACAATAACATCTTTCGGACGACCCCCGTTAGCATCCACAGAATTGGGATCAGCCCCTGCTGCAAGAAGCAGCTTCACAGCATCAACAGCATTTTCAGCCCAGCCCGATGCAGCACAGTGAAGAGCAGTGCTCTTGTCAAGGCCACAAGGCCTATTGATGTCAACATCAGATAGAGAAATAATCAGTTTCATAACATCAATACTACCATAGGTAGCAGCAACCATCAAAGGAGTCCTCCGTTCATTCACCATCTGCTCCTTCAAAAATTGGGCAGCAGCTTCGCGGTCTTTTGATGTCAAAATATGAACAACGTGAGGTAAAGAATCAAAACAAGCAGCAATCCAAGTACCAGCTAAAAAACATAGCAAGATAAACCATAGGCGAAGTAACCCCAGGAATCTCCTCCTTTATAAACACGCAACCATGAGCTCTTGATTTCGTTGTAACACCAACTTGACTATTTTCCACACACCTCTGATAGAAATGAACACAACTACTCATGTACCAGGACATTACTTGCACCTTTAGTTTGGACCAAACTTCTTATTGAACACTGCTCGACAAACTGATGATTCTCCATAAGACCACTTGACTTTGAACAATCATCTCTTGAGAAAATAGACCACTGATACATAACTTGCAAATGAAGTAATCCCTTGATAGTTTGACCAAGATGAGGTCAAACTTCCATCTGATTTAGACTCGAATGAATGTCCTTGCCATTAATCTCCTTGCAAAACCCTAAACACACAGAGAAGAAGAAGAAACAAACAAATTGAAAAATATTTTTGGTATTTTGGTTAGATGTTAGTAAACAGAAACAAACATAAGGCAAGTATGAAACAACAAGGGACCTAAGAAAAATCAAAAAGTATGGTCTTGTTTGTGGAATGATATGCCAATGAAATGTGGGATCTTAGGGGTAAAAATTAGGGTATTACACCCCCAATCAGCCTTAATCTTGGGCTTTGTACAAGAGATATATAACACTCTCCTAGTTGAATCAGTTTTCAATCCCTTTTTTAGCTTCAACCCTGGGCTTTGATCAAGGCACAAAATTCAAGATCCCGACAGATGAGACTCTGAGTCCTCTTTGTATGAGGGTATTTCCTCTATGCATCACATTTCAAAACAAACAATAAAATCCTTTTCTAGATAATTGATGTAACTGGCACACTTTTTGATTCAAAATCCAAGCTGAAGTCCCTCCTTTATCATGGACAAAGTTCTCTTTCATCTAGGTGATGTAAGTAGCAAGCCTCTGGAACACATCCAAGCCAATGTCCCTCTCTTAGCATGCAAAGATTCATAAAGGAACAAATGGCATTGCTCTACAGTGAGTTAAAGCTTCTTCCTTCATGACATTTCAATTCTCTTATAAAGGAAGATGTGGCATTACTGTATTCCACATATCCCAGTTAAAGAAACTTCCCTTATAAACAAAACCTCGATAATTATGATGAATATGTGAGATATCTCCCTTTAGAGATGAAAAATTCTCTCACAAAAACTCTTTTAGCTTCAATTTTGGGCTTTGAATAAGACACAAATACTCTTTTTAGCTTCAATCTTGGGCTTTGAACAAGACACAAATTCTCTTTTATCATCAATCTTGGGCTTTGAACAAGACACAAATACTATTTTTAGCTTCAATCTTGGGCTTTGAACTAGACATAAATACTCTTCTAGCTTCGATCTTGGGCTTTGAACAAGACACAAACTTCTCTTTTAGCTTCAATCTTGGGCTTTGAACAAGGCACAAAAACTCTTTTAGCTTCAATCTTTGGCTTTGAACAAGACACAAACACTTTTAGCTTCAATCTTGGGCTTTGAACAAGACACTAAACATTTTTCCTCCCATAGAATAGGAGGAACTACGAATGCTCTGATTTCTCAGTTTCCTTTTTTGAAAATAGGTAGGCATAATATTGTGAAATCTTAGCGAGAACAATAATAAAAAACCTTAGGTCCAGATACCTTCCCAAACACAATAAAAAATTCTAAAACAACAAAAACATTTCCTCAACCTCCCAAAGGAGAAACTTTCCCCACCTGACAGCAAATAGACTTAAGAAAGCAATTCAAATAGTAAAACCATATGTAAATTAAGGTTCCTATAGATTACTATAGATACTCTGGGTGTTAATAGCTTCTCTTTGTATAACCAACCCTCGATTCCAAATCTCTTCGTATTTGTAGGGAAAACACTTGCGCACAGGGTTAGTTTAAGATATCTTTCCCTTCCTTTTAAGTTTCATAGGATAAATATAGAAATCAAAAAGTAGCACCAGAAGCAGTAGTGGTCGTGCCACAAAAACCGACTGCAAAACTACATCTTTAAAGGAAGATTGTGATTACTAAGAAGACTATCGCATATCTGATTTCTCACAATGGTTGTGGGAAAAAGGTTTTTAATTTCAAATATGGTGTTAAGAGAGAAGCAAAGGTAGCATCAACCATCTTCAAAAAGGGAACAAAAGTTGATGATGGAAAGAGTCCTAGTGCTAAAGATTTGACTGACACTTTGAGGGTATGGTTCAAGATCATCCTGGGTTTCATTTATCATAGACCTAGCACCAACTCAGCTGATTACATCAACACCACTCAGAAGTTCAAGCTATTCTTTCTGAAGAAAGGTGTCAAGTTGGCACTTCTTCTAACGCCCCGGTTTATTTATTTAATTTTTGTAAATAAAATTGTATGTTTGTATATGGTGTTTGATAAATGATGTGTTGGAGGAACCCTAGGGTGAAAGGTGGTAGCCTTAGACGTTAAAATATAAGGTGTTATGGGTGTGTGAGTAAAAATGTAGAGACATGGGGGTGGATGGAGAGTATCAATTGCTAATATTATTTTAATTAGAACTAGTTAAATAAATAACAGTAACAATAATAATTAAAATTTTATTTTTAGTTATTATGGTTATAATAATATTTATTTATTTTGTTGGAATAAGAATTAATGATAAATAATAGAATAATAATAAGAAAATAGGGGAATAGGGAAAGTAGAGTCAGCACACGTGAATAAGAAAGAAGAGAAAGAGAAAAGAGAGTTAGGGCTTTGAGGAAGAAGAGAAAAACTCATTGTTGAAGTGCTCTTGCTAGAAAATTAAGGTAAGGGTGAGATTTCCTCTTGTACAAGGGATTGTATGATAACATGTGAATGGTTGAATTAGTTTCTCTTTGATTGCATTTTCTACTTTATGCTATGTGTGTTGAAACCTATTTTAGGTGGGTGTTTTATCGTATCCGCAAAGATTTCTCCGATATCTAGATGCTTATCATTCAATAATTTAGAGTTCTAAGAAAAGGGATATTTTCACAATTTTCTTGTTTTGAAACACAAGTTTCGTTGCAAAGATGTAAAATAGAGAAATATGTTTAACTTTTAAGAAAAGCATGCCAATAATAGATCTCGTTAACCCTTTTCTTACATATCCGATTAATCAAGCATGTGAACATAGTTTCGATCAATACAATCACGTATCCTCGAAAATATTTTTATCTCTAAAGTGACTTCATGGGTATTATTGTTTTTAATCACTAGATGATCTCTCAAAATAGCAACTACAACAATAATCGTAAAGATCGATACAAAGTAAATATTAACGTCCAAATCTATGTATAAAGTTTGTTTGTTAATAGATGAAGAAATTAGGTCAAGGCTTGGAGAATCTATGTCTAGAGTAAACCAAATCATAAATAACACATTAAAAGCAATTGTCTTCAACATATATTGATCATCAACCTTGTTCACATACATACAAAAGATTAAAAGAAATACATATTATTATGGTTAAATACCTATAATATTGACACAAAGGAAATTTTCTACCCATAAACATGGTAGCTTA